ACTCCTATAGATAGATTTATATGCGTACGAAACGTATTTTGGTTCAACCTCTTGTCTCCATTCGATTCAATGTATGTATTTTTGTGTTATATTTCTTGTATAAATTGGATTACAGAAAAGCTCATACATTGTAGAAAGTTGAAAGTTTTTTATCGATAAGAACAAGGTCTTCGTCAACCTTATTTAAACCTCCAAGTTGGCGGTTAAATAATAGTTAGGTGTGTTTAAACATTAAATATTCATCGAAATACTTAATTTCAATCAAATATTGACGATATTCGTCCACCATAAACAAACTCATTTGTGCATCATGTACCCTTCTCTCCCACTAGAGTATTCATTAAGATCACCACCACCATCAGCTCCTCCACCATTATATCACCAACAAGCACCACCACCACAACGACCACCTCCTCAGCCGCATGCCACTGGTGTTCCAGCTCAATACGTAACTCCTCCTCCCCTTAACGTCAACTGGTCCAGCAGCCTTTGTGCTTGCTGCTCCGATGCCCCCAACTGTAAGTCCATGGCTGATGACCTTCTTTTTCTTCTCTTTTACAAGATAGAACCAAATATAAATCTAGTTTCTGAACCACAGGTTGCTTAACATGTTTGTGTCCGTGCATTACTTTCGGACAAATAGCTGAGATCATTGACAAAGGGAACACTTGTAAGTAACTTATTTTGCTAAATGTATTGATACCATGTTATCCGGTGTAAAGTAATTTAAAGTCAAAAATGGGTTTTTGCCGATGGTGTGTAAGTGTTCATTGTTTTAGATATTTGAGATAAACATATTAGCCAATGTGTTATACAGCTTGCGGAGAACATGGGGCTCTCTATGCCCTAATCCACGCTCTCACATGCTGTGGATGCATGTATTCTTGTACGTATCGGACTAAGATGAGGAGTCAACACGGGTTGCGTGAAAATCCATGTCCTGATTGCCTTGTTCATTTTTTTTGTGAACCATGTGCCTTGTGTCAGGAGTATCGTGAACTTAAGCATCGTGGATTTGACATATCTATTGGTAACCGATCTCACTTAAGTAACATGTGATGTGTTTACAATATATTGTATTATTATATATCATAGTTTGATTTTGAGGTTTATTTGAATTCCAGGATGGGAAGGTAACATGGAGAGACAGAATGATGTACATATGCCACCGGTGGCTCCTGGAGGAATGTACCGTTAAAACCATACACATAGCTCATTGCGAGAAATTGAATTTTAAAGATGTACGTATAAATTATCTCATAAAGTACCTTTGCATTATTTGTGTATTGGTATATTGAATTTGTGCCAAGCTGTACGTAGTATATTTGTGCTTGAGTGGGCGGTGTAAGCAAATTTTATTATACCATTATTTTATTTCCTTAACAGCAAAAGACAAATAAATAAAAATGCTAGCAAAATACTAAAGAGTTACAAAACATCAGACAAACAGTTTTAGGTTCAATACACCATTTTAACCAATTCATACTAAAACCACTATTAGTTCTTGTTTTTAACCAGTTGAATGCCACCATTTTGATGTCACTAGCCAAGTCCATAATTTAGAACTTCTACTCTTGTTATTGAAGGCCCTCTCATTGCAATAATGCCACACGATACAAGCTAGAGCAAAGAGCACAACCTCGACACACCTTTGAAGTTTGTGATTAGCTCTCGAACATTCATATCAATAGATCCTACAGTGACCGGGATATCCCTCCACCAAAGAGAAACGTGAGCTTTAATCTCTTTTACAAAAATACAATCCAAAATAAGATGAAACTCAGTTTCACTGCAACTGTGACAGAATGTGACAGAATGGGCAAAGAGAAGTAACCAAATTGAAACCAATTCTACCAAGATTATACGGTGTCAGAAGTTTACCAAGTCTGGCTCTCCAAACAAGAATGGTAGCTTTACTCGGTACTATTGAATTCCAAGTCGTTTCAATAGGATTACGGTCCAAAATAACCCAATAATTAATTTATCGCATAGACGACACCGTGTAACAAACATCATCAGTCCTGCCCAAATCCGTTTGGTGTTGTGTAGTGGGTGTTCAAAACCGGATATCCGAAATTTCGGATAGTAGATTTTTAGTATCCGAATCTGTATCCGAAATTCCGATATCCGAATTTTCAGATACGGATTCGGATACCAAAACGGATATTTGAAATTTCTAAAATTTTGTAATTACTAAATATTAACTTTTATATCAATATTAATCTCTTACATTTAAGTGTCCACACCACATGTAAAGTTTTAAAGTGTTGGTTTTCGGTTAACAAAACTCATTAATTTTAATTTTGTACTTGAAAAAAAGGTGTTGCTTTGTGTCTTCCATCATATATATTATCAACTTATAGCCATTTTTATATGTAATATTATATGATAGTATTAACTTGTTAATATTACTCCAAATTAAAGTAAAACAAATATATGAATGCTTTGGTTCTTCATTCCCGTGACTAGCTATGCATCACTACAAAGACAAATGTATTGATAAAGGGGCTTTTATGGATATTTTTAGTTATTAACTAGAAAGAGACCCATGCTTTGCATGGGTCGGGAAGCTCTGTAAAGAGTCACATTATTGTTATCTACTACCCACTGTTCATAGAGTAAATCATATTTAAATGTAAAAAAAAAAAGAACCAGTACTATACAGTTTCTAATTGATTAGCAAGTGTTGAGCTTAACTTCCATTGGCATCTAGCCTTGAGATTGTTGATTGATGATAAACTTTTGTAGGCACAACTTATTGCGTGCTCATGTCATGAGCCGACAGATGATATTCACAAACTTCAAGGGCATTTTGGACTTTTAAAATATATCTTTCAACAAAAAAGTAAAATGATTATTTTAAATCTATATATCTGAATTGCAAAGATTATGCTGTACATTTATCTATCAATCCATATGCAGAAGTGAATATGATCATAAACTTAGATCACTCTTTAAATGGAATATGCATCTGCTACCCTGAACCTCTCTTGATGCCTGCAAATGAAAATTTGAAGACAACAGATCAAATCAACATTATTTGAAGATATAAGTTGTAGTTGAAATGTAAATTTTTTAATCCCAAAAATGCCACATCACTATTCGATTCGGTCAAAAGATGATGATGATGATCATCATCCACTTCATCTTCTTCACTCCCCATTGTTAAAGATGAATCACCAGAATCTGATTCTTCATCTGTTTCAATTTTCAACAACAATTTAATTTTACTAAAAAACCACCTAAAATATAAGGGTATTTCTGTAATTTGTCCAAAAATGTAATCAAATCTCACCAGAAATTGTTGCATGATCAGGTAGATGTCTAACAGGTAACAGTAACAGCTGCAACTTGAATGTTTTCAGGCAATAAAACAGTTGCAGAAAGACCCTGTTCAAAGTAAATAAAAAAATCTACAAAATTTGAATCTTTCAAAGTGGAATGATATAAATGAATGGAGGATGATATAATTTCTTACTGAGTTTAGCCAACCGGTTAACCCAACCGGGGATTGGTTTTCCAGTGAGTCGCATTGATACTTCATTTGTGAAATGATTGCAGTTTTTTGCTATTAAATGATAAGTATCACCATAATATTTATTAGAAAGATGCTCCATGAATTACCGGAATTCTGAAGGAGACATGTTGGTGTTGCCCAAAGGAATTGAACGCCTGAAGATAAATCTCGAGCAACTTTTCAGTTCCACTTCAAAGACTCCATTGGTTGGGTACTCGTGTGCTCCAGATGCATATTCCATGTCATATACTGATTATCATATCATAATGTAAAATATATTACTTGATTCGAATCCAATTCAATGATTATCTTGATAGGAGTAGAAATTGGTAATGCTGATTGTTGAATCTCAGATAGGAGTAGATTATGGAGATCTAGAAACATATGTTTACTTGATGTAGCAAAAACTTGAAATCAAAACTTAGATTTTGATAGAAATAATGAAAGTCGAGAATCAGATTAAATTTTTTTTCTCAACTAGGTTAGTTTATCAATTCCAGAATCTGATAACAATATTGAAAGTCAGACGTATGTATGATTGTAAGGGAGTTGAATAGAATCTGGAAAAAATCGAATTCAAATGATATATATTCAGTCGTTTTGAATTTTGAATTAGTTTACCTTCGATACCAGAATGGAAGATTCCGAAGCCCAACCAGTACAGGTAGTTATTGACAGGGGTGAGATCATATACGTTGATATACAACAATGCATACTCACTTCCTCCATTTCTAAGCTCTTTAGACGAATTCATCGGAAACAGCCGCATTGTTTCATTTTATAGCTATGCACACTTACAGACACACCACTTCGCCTCTCTTTAGTGCTCCCAATTTTTTCTCAAATGAAGATTATCTGTGTAAACCCCAAACCCCCAACCCTACAAAACCCTAAAAGATGGAAAACTAAAATGAAAATTGGAAGTTCGTGAAACGAAGATATTGAAAATGGACATTTGTGGGTCAAAGGCACATCGGTGAAGAATGAGTTGTGTAAGCATTCGATTGGAGAATAAGGCGGTGGAGAAGGAGAAGCAGGACACGTCAAATTAGAGTCCACACACCCACCACCAGCCATTGACCAAGCATTGACCAGAAGGGACCAAAATTAAAACCCTATATTAAAGGGACTAAAAGTGACAAATGCCTCAAATATGTGTGGCCAAAGTCCAACACTTCAAAAACCTACTGTTCCTAAGGGAACACCAAATTAATATATATATATATATATATATATATATATATAATATATATATATATATATATATATATTATATATATATATATATAGTGATAATTATAAGATATGAGTCTTTTAAAATAAAAAGTAAACATAAAATAAAATCATATTTTTCGGATTTCGGATATCTGAAATATCCGAAATTTTACAAAATTGTTATCCGTATCCGTATCCGAAAAACCGAATATCCGAATTTCGGATATCCGAAAATCCGGGTATCCGAAATTTCGGATAATTTATGTAACACCCATAAAATTTATGAAATATTTAAACTTTTTAAACCAACCAGAAACCATATTTATATACAACATAGTTTTCAAAATATGTTAAATATCAGAGTTTTCCCAAAATCATAACACAAAACACGAGGAGGTGCACGATCAAGCTTTCGCCTTCCCGCGATCATCTGAGGTACCTGAAACATAACTTAAAACTGTAAGCCCAAAGCTTAGTGTGTTCCCCTCCCCCCCCCCCCCCAAATATCACCACATAAAACAAAACATAAACACAAACACTCATGCCTGGCCTAATCAGCCTCGGACTGGAATACCAGGCATGTCCACGATGGGTACAGTCATCCTCAGAATGGAATACTCTCGTATCATAAGCATATTGGCCCAATCAGCCTCGGGGTGGAATACCAACATATCGGGTCCAATCAACCATCGGGTTGGAATACCCAGGGTTTGTTGGTCTACCACCTCAACCCTACTGCTCCTCCTGAGCCTCCGTGCCTACGGTTTACAGCCGGCCTGCACCGGGTATCTTGGCCTACCGCACAAAGCAGGACCGCCTCAACCCATCCAAACACAATATGTCGACATATAAACAATCAGGATCAAGTAGGCATGTTGAGAGAAAAACTTGAGAAACACACTTGAACAAACGTTAGAACAAGTTTATATTGCGGAAATTAAAGTTAATCTCAAAGGATCATAAAGCTCAACAATAATATAAGTTAGAGTTAGATAGTTAGATAATTAGTTGCGGAAATATAAGGAAATATAAAAGATAACAAGTAATATATCAAGTATACACTTAAGTTGATTCTTAACAAGGACTGCAATCAGACCAAGTTAGTAAGTGAGATCAAACTTAGTGATTAAGTCTAGAAAGACTTGCTCCCGAAGAGAGGACAAGGAGTTATGGATTGTATTTGGGTGATAAGATAGTAGAGAGAAAGATACGTGATAAAATTCAAGATGCGTAAAAGAGGTGTATTCATTGAGAAGGGGAGAGCTCTATTTATAGAGTCTCGAAGATTACATACATTCTAATCTGTTTAAGAGTTGCCACGTAGGGCACTTTGGATAAAAGAAAGTTTTCATACAAAAGACAGATATAAGACTGAATCTAAGAACTGATGACGATGACTGTGGTTGCTGATCTTAACTGCGGGGAGAGAATGACTGCGGTTGCTGAAGCAACTTCGGATCTCTTTTAAGTTTAAGAGGGTCACTTTAATGTTTCAACAATTTCCCCCTAAGTGACCTCTTCAATTTTTGTTTCAAGTGTTGAGCTTGAGAAACTTGATAAGAATCCACCAGAACTTCCTGACTTCCTTAAGCCATGCAATCCTCCTTGATATTTCAACCTTTACTTCAACAGTTGTATGTTTGGATTTGTTGACTGCAACCTGAATAATCTCCAACTGCTTCCGGGTCATACGATTCATGGCAGTCATCGGGATGAAGTATTTAGTTTCATCATTTAATCGTTTGAAGATGAATCCAAGATCCGAAAAGTTAGTTGCTCCAAGAGATCTTTCTTGAAAGCCTTCAGTCAGGACCAGAGTTGGTTCAAGAGGAGGAAGGTTGAATTTTTGAGCAAGTGTCGGGTGGATGTCAGCATCGATCCTTGCGAAGTCACACACAGTCTCTTTGAGAAAGGTACAAGCCCTTTCATAAGAAATCTTCATCCTTGGGTGCTTTTCAGACTTATTCTGAAATACCTTTGCAATCAGGAAGATTTCTTCCGGGTTCATGCAAGGAAAGTCAGCTTGGGTTCGGACATAGTCTGAGCTTCTTCTGGTAAGCGTGTACTGGATGAATTCTGCCTTCATGATTTTTCGAGGCTTGTAATTTTTGACTGCGGAGGGTCTGTCATTCGACCAGATTTTCTCTATAGAAGACCCATGTTTGGCATGAAAGCTGTTGAGTCTCTCAAACTCTAAG